AGATTGATTGATTGATTGATTGATTGATTGATTGATTGATTGATTGATTGATTGATTGATTGATACATGCATTTTTAAATTATATTTTTGTATGTCGCATTTGGCATAGGTGTGTTATTTTTGTTGCAATTATAATTTTCTCCTCATCTTCATCATCTTTTTAACAAGGTGTGGAGGTTGTGACGACACATTCACGCACCAATTCAAATGCAACAACTTACTCTGCTGATGCGGTTCTTGTCACACTCCCACTTGGTGTTCTCAAAGAAGGTTTTTTGGTTTGTTCCTATTTGTTTTTTGTTTTATAACTTTTGTTTTGGTATTTATTTCTTAACTAAAATTAAGCTTTTGTGGCAGCTAGTAGCACATAATGGCATGTGATGTACATTAAGCTTGGTCTGCTGATACACAACACACGTTTAGACGGCATTTTCCCCGAGATCGGGGGTTGCCGTTTGGCTACCTATGATGAAACCGAAATACCCCTCGACGCCATCCACATCTGTCACTCGCCTCAGTATCACGCAACCCCGCTTTCACCCTGTCCTTCTCCACCTGCTCTCTCCATCCCAATCGCGGACGACCCCTTCCTACCACTCCTTCAACCTCGAACTCCAACGCTCGCCTAATCCCGACCCTTTCATCCCTTCTCAACACATGTCCATATCACCGCAATCTCGATCTCCTTATCAATGTCACAAGTCCTCATTCAGTCCCATCATTGACATCAGCTCTGTACTACTCCTCATTTCATTAACTGTCACCATACTTCTCAACCTCCTCTCAAGCACCCTCTCCACTACCTTCATTCCGTGCTCTAGTAATTTCACACCCCTGTATGACCCACAATCTCTCACATCTCCTTTGCCCTTATACAACGGCACCAACACACTTGGTCTGCTGATAGCATTTGCATATTCGAGCTCGGTCGCTGCAAGCACTGCAAAACATGATCAGGCCCCTTTAACCATTAAGCCACCTGGTGAATGGTGAAATTGTGATCGTCATGAATACTTCAAAGGTTTAAAGAGCGATGGAGTGAACAGCATCCAATTCGTTCCTCCACTTCCACAGTGGAAAACAAATGCCATTCAAAGATTAGGCTTTGGAAATTTGAACAAAGTTGTCCTCTGTTTCGATCGCATCTTTTGGGACCCTCATTCAAATCTCTTTGGACACGTTGGCAGCACCACAGCCAGTCGGGGTGAACTTTTCCTCTTCTGGAACCTCTACAGGGCTCCTGTCTTGTTGGCTTTGGTGGCTGGAGAAGCAGCCATGATCATGGAGAACGTCAGTGATGACGTCATCGTTGGAAGGTGCATTGCTGTATTGAAGGGAATATTTGGAAACAATTCCGTGCCTCAAGTTGGTTGTTGTTTGTATTTTTGCATTGGTTGTTGTTATTGTGTTGTTTTTATTTATTAATTTCAATTATGTTTTCGTTGGTAGATATTATTAGTTTTAAATTGTTTTAAAAAATGTAACTAATATAGCTATAATTGTAACTCAATGATTAAAGGCTGTTGTAGTGACTAGATTTGAATACACAGAGATCCTCGCCCGTGCAACGTGGATGATGCTTGGTTTTCACGCGTATTCATATATGCTGCATGTGTTTGTCGTTCATACTTCTGAAGCAAGGGGAAAAAAGCGAATGACCTTTAACCTTTTATTGTTGCTAATGTCTGTAGTGTTGTGCGTTTAGGATGCATGGAAAAATTAGTTGATAATACATTGGAAATGCCAAAATGGTTATAAAACACATTCACTGAACACATTCAGCCGAAAGAAGCTGTGGTGACAAGATGGAAAGCTGACCCGTGGTCTCGTGGTTCATACTCATTCGTGGCTGCAGGTTCTTCAGGTCACGTGATAATCATTCATTTTGTCATTCATTATATAATTATTTTGTGTAACTGCACCATTATGACAGCTCATCGTGGCGTCACTCATAACAGCATGACGCGGCAGTTTAGCTGGCAACATCACACATATTCACTTTTACAGGAAGCGACTATGAAATTATGGCCACCCCGGTTTCATACGTTGACCCCAACACTAACATCAACAGCAACAACATCTCATCAATTTCCCCAAGGGTATTTTTTGCAGGAGAGCACACAATTCGGAACTACCCAGCCACCGTCCATGGAGCATTCCTCAGTGGCTTGAGAGAGGCTGCCAACATAGCCAATCAATTTCTTGGGGCTCCTTATGTTCTACCCAATCACAATCAAACTTTCAACAGCAACAACAACAATAATAATAATAATTTAAACAAATTAGTTGGCTTAAATAACATAATTAATAATAATAACAATTTTAATAATATTATAAGTAATGATGACAACAACGTTGTTGATCTTATAAATTATAGTAGCAGTTTAAGCACAAGCGTCACAATGCATGCAACTAATAGCTCCGACATTAAAATTAGTGACAGGCTCATTAATGAATTCGTTGTCCCAACCAATAGCAGTAATAATAATTTTATCATTAATGCTGCTAGTAGCGTTTATGGAGTTTTTGGATCCGGGTCTTCTAGTATGTATTTGTTTTTTATAGTGCTTTTATGTTACATTTTACTTTAATTGCTGTTGCTTCTAAGTTGAGTTGTTTAGTTTGTTTTATGGTCGTTGATGATGTAAATAATAATGCCGGTTATGGTGATAAATATGATGATTATGATATTAGCAATAAAGATAATGACATTACATTCAAACAGCATCAGGCAGCGTGCAGTCGCCATCAGTTGCATCCGCTGGAGTCTCATCGCTGGGCAATGCTCCCACTGCCATCAACAACACTATACTCACTTCATCATCATCGTTATCGTCGTCATCATCTTTTTCCTATCATCCTCACTTTTGATCATAATAATTGTAATGGAAATAAAATGAATTATTTGTTGATACATGTCGGACATTATACATATGTGTGTGTTGATGTGTCTTATTTGTTATCTTTGCTATATTTGTAATCTTACGATTGTAAAAAATCTTTCGTAGAGGCTATATAAGGTCCTTCGGAAAGATGGGTCAGGAAAAGCGAGGTTCCATGCAAAGTTGTAAATGTGATTCATGTTGTTGCTTGTGTTAGTTAGTTTAGTGTTTCTATTACTGTTGGCATTCAAATAAACGTTTAACAAAGTTTGCGTTTGAAGCAGTTGTGTTCATCTATCAGAAATCGATAAGAATTCCTTTAGGAATAACGAACACATAACGATAGTTGGAAGCAACAACATTGGTCTTGGAAATATAGATATAACAAGTTATAACATTGATGTTGGTAGTAACGTGCGTTCAAAAGGTTACTACAACAATATATTTATATGTGTGCGAGAAAATCAGCATGTTCCGCGATTTTTATTTTCCTGTTTAATTTTTAGATTTTTCTAATCGCAATAAGATCGGAATAACTAATTAAATGATCGTTAAGTATTCACATTAAACTACGGATTAACATTATAGAGACAAAAACAAACAAACACACGTTTAGACGGCATTTTCCCCGAGATCGGGGGTTGCCGTTTGGCTACCTATGATGAAACCGAAATACCCCTCGACTCCATCCACATCTGTCACTCGCCTCAGTATCATGCAACCCCGCTTTCACCCTGTCCTTCTCCACCTGCTCTCTCTATCCCAATCGCGGACGACCCCTTCCTACCACTCCTTCAACCTCGAACTCCAACGCTCGCCTAATCCCGACCCTTTCATCCCTTCTCAACACATGTCCATACCACCGCAATCTCGATCTCCTTATCAATGTCACAATGTCCTCATTCAGTCCCATCATTGACATCAGCTCTGTACTAATCCTCCTATCCTTCACTTTAACCCCACACATCATCCTCACCATAGCTCTTTCAGCCCTCTGCAGTACACTTTCCTCCTCTCTCCTCAACACCCAAGTTTCACCACCATATATCATCGCTGCTCTCACACATGGTTTATATACCCTCCCTTTCATCTTCACTGACCATTTCTTTCCACACAATACCCCACCCAGTTCCCTAAATTTCATCCATCCCACACGAACTCTAGCCGTAACTGCGCTCAAACATCCTCCATCCGCATTCAGCTTATCCCTTAAGTAAACAAAGCTTTCCACTCTTTCAATACCATCACTCAACCCCGTCCTTGCGTCCGTCCTATTAATCACACCATGAACACATTTCTTACATTTGAACGTGCCTTCCACCTTTTTCAGTGCCCCCCTCACACCACTACATCTCTTATGCACCCATTTCTGACATCCTATACACAATACCGAGTTAGCCTTCACTCTCCTATCACATACCCCACAGGGGTCTATTTTACTTATCACTCGTTCCCCACCTTTCCCACTCACCATTACCTTCGTCTTACCAATATTAACTTTTAACCCTTTCTTTTCAATAACACTTTTCCATCTGTCAAATTTTAACTGCAATTCTTCCATGCTATCAGCCATCAAGACTAAATCATCTGCATACAAAATCTCAAATAACAACCCCTCCATTATGTTCCACACACAACATCCATCACAATG